GCATGAGGTTTTATAGGAGAGATGTTCGAAAGTCAAGGTTAAAGAGAAAGACATTAATGAGCAAACAAACCATAAGAAATGCTGCTATACAATGTTCTTAGCCTGACGACTAATCCCATTTTGTGCATCCTTTCTTATTTATATTTGGTCTTTAAAAATAAAGCACAGACTAAATGCTTTTCTATTATATTTCAAAAAAATTCCTGAGTAATCCATGACATATTTCTCACAGTGTACACTAGATGTCACTTTGAGAATAGCGAGGGAATAAAGATATTCAAAGGGCTTCCATAAAGTATGAAAATAAGCCATAATCCAAAGTGATCTAAATCTGAAATAATTTATATAAATTCAATTATTTAATTGTTAAAAAAAATCACAAAAACATTAAAACTGATTAATGGTCATTTCTTCCAGGATAAGCAATGTCTTTTTGTGACATCTTTTCCAATGGCGCCTGGGAAAAAAAGTTTCATCCTCCAAAGAACCTGAATTAGACTTGAGACAAACTGAAATAACTTTCTGCATCAATGTAGAATGTCACCGGCAAAGGGACAGAAAACTCTGCCAGGTTTTTGTTCATTGCTATGACACCAGCAACTGGAAGAGTGCTTGGCATGTAACAGATAGTCAATAAGTACGTGATATATAAGTAAATGTTCAACCTCTCTCTCCAACTGTCTCACACCCAAACCTATACAACCAGTCCAAACTAGCCAAGGAAAAGCCAACTATTTCTCTAACTCATATGCAAATGTAAAAGAACTATTAAGTTAGGATAAGGGGAAAGCCATGCTCTTTTAATGAGAGTACTATTAGGTCATTGTACTAATTTTTAAATACCTACATATCTGAGACCTTTTTTAAATTAATTTCACAAGTACTAAATGAAAAGAAACAATGGGAAAGAAGGGAGAAAGGGAGAAAAGGAAGGAGGACAGAGAAACATGTTATAAAAAGCTTACAAAAGAATTTTCTACCTTTGCTTTTTATTAGCATATATTTTTTTAGCACTGAACTTTGGCAAAATCATATTTTAGCACTTTCATCAGCAGGGTCAAAGGCTAAAAAAATACCCATGAATTAAACTTTAAAAGTCCTACAATTACAATTGCTCTGGGAATATTTCTGATAAGTATTTATTAGAAATGTAGAGGGCTTTGTAAGGAATATACCACTATTTCATTACTTTTACAATCCTAATCTTGAACCAAACTTAAAATACATTTTCTATTGATGTGCTGACAAGATTAAAGACAAACTCAGACTACAGTAACATTAAATATATTTCCTTTGGATTATATACAGTTAGGTGCATTTAACACCAGCTTTCTAGTTTTCATTATAATTTAGAAAAATACTCAATTGTGACAACTTACTATAATTTGAAGACAACTGCACTAATAAAAACAGATACAAGTCAATGCACATAAACAGAATCAGAAATGAGAAAGGAAAAATCACTATGAACACCACAGAAATACAAAGAATTATTAGAGAATACTTTGATAAATTACATGCTAATGAACTGGATAACCTACAAGAAATGGACAATTTTCTAGAAAAATACAACTTTCCAAGACTGTCACAGGAAGAAACAGAAAATCTGAATAGACCAATTACCAACAACAAAACTGAACTGGTAATCAAAAACTACCAAAGAATAAAATGCCTGGACCAGATGGCTTCAATGCTGAATTTTATCAAACATTTACTAAAGACCTAATATCCATCCTCCTTAAAGTTTTCAAAAAAGTAAAAGTGGAGGGAATACTTCCAAACTAATTCTATGAGGCCAGCATCACTCTAATACCAAAACCAGAAAAAGACACTACACACAAAAAAATTACAGACCAATATACCTGATGCACATACGTGTAAAAATACTCAACAAAATATTAGCAAATCCAATTCAAAAACACATCAAAAAGGTCGTGCATCATGATTAAGTAGGATATATCCCAAGTATGCAAGGATGTTACAATATTCAAAAATCCATCACCATCATCCACTACATCAACAAAAAGGACAAAAATCACATGACCATCTCCATAGATGCTGAAAAAGCATTCAACAACATTCAACATCCATTCACGATAAAAACTCTCAACAAAATGGGTATGGAGGGCAAGTATCTCAACATAATAAAGGCCATATATGACAAACCCACAGACAACAACATACTTAACAACAAGAAGCTGAAAGCTTTTCCTTTAAGATCAGGAACAAGACAAGGATGCCCACTCTCCTCACTTTTATTCAACATAGTACTGGAGGTCCTCACCATAGCAATCACACAACACAAAGAAATAAAAAGCATCCAGATTGGTAAGGAAGAAGTTAAACTGTCACTATTTGCTGATGACATAATATTGTACATAAAACACCCTAAAGAATACATCCCAAAACTACTACAACTAACAATTGAATTCAGGAAAGTTGCAGGATACAAAATTAATACACAGAAATATGTTGCACCCCTATACACTAACAATGAACTAGCAGAAAGAGAAATCAGGAAAACAATTCCATTTACAATTGTATCAAAAAGGATAAAATACCTAGGAATAAACCTAACCAAGTAAGTGAAAGATATACACCCTGAAAACTACAAGACACTCATGAGAGAAATTAAAGAAGATACCAGTAAATGTAAATACATGGTGTGCTCATGGATAGGAATAATTAATACTGTCAAAATGGCTATCCTGCCTAAAGCAATCTACAGATACAATGCAATCCCTATCAAAATACCAACAGTAGTCTTCAATGAACTAGAGAAAATCATTCTAAAATTCATGTGGAACCACAAAAGACTCCAAATAGCCAAAGCAATCCTGAGAAGGAAGAATAAAGCTGGGAGGATTATGCTCCCCAACTTCAAGATCTATACAAAGCCACAGTAATCAAGACAATTTGGTACTGGCACAAAAACAGATCCATAGACCAATGGAACAGAATAGAGAGCCCATATTTAAAACCAAGCATATATGTCCATTAATATACAATAAAGCAACCATGGATGCACAATGAGTAAATGACAGCCTCTTCAACAACTGATGTTGGCAAAACTGGACAGCTACATGCAAAAGAATGAAACTGGATTATTGTTTAACTCTGTATACAAAAGTAAACTAGAAATGGATCAAAGACTGAATGTAACTCATGAAACCATAAAACTCTTAGAAGAAAAAATAGGCAAACCTCTCTTGAATATAAATATAAGCAACTTTTTCCTGAAGACATTTCAGGCAGAAAACAAAAGCAAAAATGAACAAATGGGACTATATCAAACTAAAAAGTTTCTGTACAGCAAAGGACACCATCAGTAGAACAAAAAGGAATCCTACAGTGTGGGAAAATATATTTGTAAACAACATCATCTCCGACAAGGGGTTAACATTCAAAATATATAAAGAACTCACAAGCCTCCAACTCAAAAAGCAAATAACCCAATCAAAAAATGGGCAGAGGATCTGAAAAGACACTTCTTCAAAGACACTCAGATGGCCAACAGGCACATGAAAAGATGCTCCACATCAGTTATCATCAGAGAATTGCAAATTAAAACCACAATGAGATATCACCTCACACCAGTTAGGATGGTCGACATAGAAAAGACAAGGAACAACAAATATTGGTGAAGATGCAGAGAAAGAGGAACCCTCCTACACTGCTGGTGGGAATGTAACCTAGTTCAGCCATTGTGGAAAGTGATCAAAAAAGTAAAAACAGAAATAGCATTTGACCAGGGAATTCCACTACTAGGAATTTACCCAAAGAAAACAAGTTCTCAGATTTAAAAAGGCATATGCACCCATATATTTATTGCAGCACTATTTAAAATAGACAAGATAAGGAAGCAACGTAAGTGTCCTCCAGTAGATAAATGGATAAAGAAGATGTGGTACATATACACAATGGAATCAGCCATAGAAGAAAACAAATCCTACCATTTGCAACAACATGGACAGAGCTAGAGGGTATTATGCTCAGTGAAATAAGCCAGGTGGAGAAAGATAAGTACAAAATGATTTCCCTCATTTGTGGAGTCCAAAGGGGAGGTGTGAGGAGTGAGAGAGAAGGGGATTGAGGGGTAATATGATTAGTACACATGGTGTGTGGGGGGTGGGGAGAGGGGCCGAGGAGGAGGGTCTCGTGGAAAACAGTGTAGCACAGAGAAGACAAGTAGTGACTCTGTGCCATCTTACTACACTGATGGACAGTGACTTCAATGGGATATGGGGGGGACTTGATAATATGGGTGAATATAGTTACCACAATGTTTTTCACGTAAAACTTTCATAAGAGTGAATATCAATGATACCTTAATAAAAAGAAAAAAACAGATACAGAGGAGGACTGATACATATCTATTTCCAAATGTGTCACCCATATTTGATCTAATTTGCCTAATTATAATTGGAATTACAACATTCCTTTTTAGGAAGTTCTTTACTTTGAATTTTAATATTCTCTGATAATTAACCCATCTGTGCTATATAATAGGCAAGCAGGAAATGGTAGCTGCCTAGTTACACTCATTCATGGTTACTCTGTCATTCATGTTTAATACACAACTCTAAATTAGCGGAGGCATCATAACTATTATGCAAGAACATCTAGAGTTTTGAAAACCTTTATGGTTTCAAAGAAGAAATAAAAGTTATAGTTTCTGCTGTGCCTCCTGCCATTTCACCCCTGCAATAAGTTATAATTCACTGTTCCTTCAGAGAAGAATGGTCCCTTCTGTCTGTAGGAAGAGCTCAACTGGTACTAGAATGAAAATATTTTGAAGTTTAATAGGTTCCTGGCTTTGAGGTAGAAATGAAAGAGAAATAAATCTACAGAAATTTCTATATATAATTAGACACCTACAGAACTTTACATTATCTATACCAAACTGGAGTCCATAAAATATCACAATCTTTATCCTAAAATTTCATTAGCAATTCTGTGAAACAAAAGTCCCTTGAATACAGCTTAAAAATAACAGCCACCTCTACTTGCGCTGCAAAATGTGCTTTCTCCTTGTCTTTTCGCTCCATGCTCCGCTTCACTTCCTCTAACTCAGATGCCAATGCACTGAAGTTCAGCTGCACTTTCAACTCTGACATCTGCTTCTCCAGATTCTCTTTTCCCCGCTCAACTCCTTAAAAGAGAAAATGTAAAGCTTGATGATTGTTTTTTATTCACAGGAAAATATACTTTCAAATGGTACAAAGCCTTGATGTGTTACTATTCCAGCCAACACTATCAACTTAACTAACACTGTCATTCATCAGACTTTTCAGAAGTTGTCAGTCTATTGCTTCGAATCTCACACAGTTTCTAAAATACACACGTTGCTGTGTTATCCAATATTATCCTATTTTGATGCTAAAACTTAAAATGTTATCTGATTGCTTGTAAAATTTGTTTCAGGAAAATCCTACACATTTTTTTTCTTTAACTTTCCTTACATTCCTACATTATCCCTAAAATCTAAGACAAAAATACTAAAAGAATTTTAAATTAAGCTACTCCAGCTGAAGTTACTGAAGCTCACACAACAGAGTATTTTTCTTGCAACATAAACAAATGATGCTGTTAAATACCTGATTGAGTATGACCACTAACTTTGTAATTTTGGAGACTACCTGAAATTGTATCACTAAATAATATAAATGCAACTTCATATTAAATTCGATATGAAATACTTGGTCTTTATGCATGGAAAACTGTAATACCATCTTCAAAGCTAAATGACACAAAAAACTTTCTCAATCTCAGTGAGTTTAGACTTAAGAGCAGAAACAAGACATATAAATAAAGTATAATCTTGAGTCTAAAATGTCAAAAATCAGAACATATACTATCAACTCAAAATTGTTGTTTTTCCAGGAGTTTCCTTTCCAGAGAAGGAAAGAAGAAAGGAAACACTACCAAATCAAATTTATAGATTACTCATAAGACACATCCCAACTTTAAAAATATCAAAGTGTTCAAAATTATACATCTGGGATGGAAGATAAACATAGGCATTTTAATACTATGATAAGAGTTCTGACAGATTGTTATACAGAAATAATGGTTATTATACAAAAATAGTACAAGGGATAGAGTGATGAACTCTATCTTATTGAGAAACTGATGTAGGAACAATTGGGGACTAAATTAGGCTTTTAAAAATGGATACAAAATTTCACCAATAAAGGAGATAGGGTTGGGTGGATATTTCAGAGAAAGGAAACAGCATCAAGTACAGAGGAACAATACAGGATTTCATATTCAGGCGGCTGAACACACAGTGGTCCTATATAGCTAACACATATGAAGGGGGAAGAAGGAGAGTCCACAGGGAATTAATGCATTGCTAGGGAGCTTAGAAGTTATTCCATAGACCAGGAGCTAGCAAGTATTTTCTGCTAAGGGTGAGATAGTAAATATTTCAGCCATATGATCTCTGTCACATTGTATTGCAAAAGTAACCTAGACTGTGTAAATGAATGGGAGTAGCTTTATTCCAAAAAGGTCTATTTACAAAAATGTACATTTGGCTCCTGCTAGATCTCCAGTCTGAAAATATGCATATTTGTTCATATATAAATGTTCTTATTCATTTTATAAATATATGTATACATTTACTTTATATTATTTTATATTTATATATGTATACATGTATATGTGTGCATATAACATATATATCTTCACAGTGTATATCGATATAAAGATACGTTTCATGATACATATATCATTAGTGTATATCATCAGTAGTAATATATATTATATAAAATATAGAGACATTAATACACATAAATATGTATACATTTGTGTGTTTTATAATAGGCAGACATTTTGAAATGTTTCATAAATATTAAATATTTGTATGATATATATATGTATATATACACATCTATACACATATAATGAAACATTCAGCAAAATTAAAATACTTAGAAAGAAGGTTTAAAATATAGTTTTACACTCTTCTCCACACCCAGATGATTATCTCATATGCTCCATGTTGAAAAACGCTTGCTGCAAACAGCGATGAATCAGTATAGGATGGCAGGTAAGAACACAAGTTTGGAAAGATTTGGTAAAAGATTTGGATGTGCTACTTCCCACAAATGTGACCTTAGGCAAGGTACTCAATTTTTTTGTTCTTCTTCCATTTTTTTTAAATCAAAATGGAAACAAGAATAACACCTTTCTCACAGAATAGTTGTAAAAACTAAAGGAGACACTGTAAAATGAGTAGCACAATGCTTTGTATGTAGTAAGAACTCAGTAAATTATAATAAGAGTTTTAATTAAGACAGAAAACATGAATGGTTTGTGTTTTAGAAGGGTTCCTCTGGTAACAGTATAGAAGATAGATTACAGAGGAGTATGGCAAAAGGGAAATACAGATGAGACAACACATGTCTAAAGTGAGGTAGTGGGAATAAAAAAGAGGATGGGGCAAATTCAAGTGATACCAGGATCTATAAATGGATAAAATATCAGGAGGAATTAGAATTGGAAAGGTTGAATGAGCAACTCCACCTGGAAGGCTGAAGGGCAGGACAGTGAGTGGAACTAGATTTAGGGACCATTACTGACAGATAAAGCTAAGGCACAGAGTAAATAACAGGCCCTAGGGAGAAGAACTACATGAGAAAAGCCATCAGTAGGATTCTAGACAAAGCATTTAAGAGACAAACTGACAAAGGGAAAAGACTGAAATGAAAAGAATGAAAACTATGGCAGAGAAACCAAGAAAGAACAGGAGCACTGAAGTCAGTGCAAGAGGTCCAAGAAGGAAGAGGAAATGAATGGGCATCAAGCAAGATAAGAAATGGCAAGCTTCTACTACACTGATGGACAGTGACTTCAATGGGGAATGCGGGAGGGGGACTTGATGATATCGTTGAATGTAGTAGCCACAATGTTTTTCATGTGAAACCTTCATAAAAGTGTATATCAATAATACCTTAATAAAAAAAACAAAAGAAATGGCAAGCTTCTTTTGAATTTGACTGATGAAACCACTAGTAAACTCAGCAATTTTGCAGTGGGTAGAGGCACAAACAGCAGCCAACAAAATGAGTGTGTTTTTTCATATAGAATTCTTTTGAATAATACAAATAGTCTATGAAGATGAAAAGTCTGTAATTATTAAAGAAAGTGAATTAGTCCATTAACACATTGATATGAAAACTTTCTGATTTTGTTAAACCTGGTAAGTAGTTAAGAAAAGTGAGAGTCATCTAGTCCTTAAAGACTTATCAAAAATAACTAGATTTTATGAGGCAACAAAACATGTAACATACTTCAGTCCTTTTCCAAGCAAAGTGATAATGGCTATGTGCATCTTTATGAAAACTTGATGAATAAAATAATGCTTTAGGATATTTACTTTGAAAAATAAATTTTAAAATATTTTATGTTAAAATATATATAAATTATAACACCACATAAAACTTAAGTGAACTTAAGTGGCATGCAAATATATTAGGATAAGTATGTCAGAATTTGCCATCTAGTGAAGATTTTCTGGCAATGTGGAAATTCTAACTTAGGCAACATATTGAATTATATGTGGGGAACCTGAGGAAATATTTACCTCCCCTGAATTTGATAGTACACCAAATATTTACAAGAGTTTCTCCAGTAACTTAGGCATTTGAGTAGGGAGTCTCATAATTAGAATAATTTATAAACTGAACAATCTAGATTAGTCTATTAGAAAACCATTATAAAATCTCAATATCCCTATTTCTGTTAAAACCAAACTTTCAGAAAAAAAAATATCCAGAGTTATTAAATTTCACAACCTAAATCAATGCCTCCACTGAAAGATATTCTAACATTTCTCAAACACAAAGCATTCCTAATCTACATTAAAAAAACTCTAGTCACATGGTCCATGACCACTTCTGCAATGTGATTTTTATTATGAATCTCCAGATAACAAAAATGATAGGATCTTAATTTTAATTGTTTGTATATACTGAAAAGAAAGACAAGAGATAAGAGGAAGTGAAAAACATAGGGGTATTTCCAATTTAATCACAAGGAAAAGTATACATACACACACACACACACACACACACACACACACACACACACACACACATTTAGGCAAAGAAATAAGAAGTTGGAAGAAGTCCACTACTGGCTTGACTTGCTCAAAGGGAAAGCATGAGATAAGCAGGCCTGACAGTTGAAATGGGCTTAAAAATCAAGCAGAGAACACATTAAAATTGGATGCTAATATTGCAATAAACAAGTAAAACTTGAAATTTAAAACATACCATTTACATAAGCATTCAAGAAAAATGAAACAGTGAAGTATAAATCTAACAAAATCTACATGAGAAAAACTACAAAACTCTGATGAAAGAAAGCAAGGCTGAATGAATTAAATGGAGAAATAATCCATATTCATGAATAGGAAGACTCAATACTGTCAAAATTTCAGTTTTGACCAGCCTAATCTACAGATTCAGTGCAACCCTAATCAAAATCCCAGCAAGTTATTTTGTGGATAATAACAAACTGCTTCTAAAGTTACATGGAGAGGCAAAGGATCCAGAATAGCCAATACAATATTGAAGAACAAAGTTGGAGGACTGACACCATCCAACTTCAAGATTTACTATAAACCTACAGTAATCAAATGGTGAGATACTGGCAAAAAAAAAAAAAAAAGTCTAATAGATCAATGGAACACAAGAGAGAGCTAAGAAACAGAACCACAAAATAGTCAACTGATCCTTGCCAAAGGAGCAAAGGCAATACAATGAAAATAGTTTTTCAACAAGTGGTGCTGGAACAACTGGACATCTAAATGCAAAATAAAGTGAATCTGGACACAGACCTTACACCTTTCACAAAAATTAATTCAAAATGAATCATTGACTTATATGCAAAACATGAAATTATAAAACTCCAAGAAGATAGGAGAAAATCTGGATGGCCTCGGGTTTGGCAATGACTTTGTAGATGCTACACCAAAGTCACAATCCATGAAATAAATAATTGGTCAATTGGACTTGATTAAAATTAAAAATCTCATTTATGGGAAAGACATTGTCAAGAGAATGAAAAGGTAAGTCACAGGTTGTCAGAAATTTTTTGCAAAGCCATATATAATAAAGGACTATTATCCAAAATATACAAAGGACTTCTTAAAACTCAGAAAACAAGCAACCCAACTAAAAAGTGGGTCAGAGACCTTAACAAATATTTCACCAAAGAAGATATACAGATGACAAGTAGGCATAATAAAAGATGTTCCACATCATGTTATCAGGGAAATCAAAGTTAAAACAATACTGGGGTCCCACTACAAACCTATTAGAATGACCCAAATATCCAGAGTATGACAACAGCAAATGCTGACAAGCATGTGGAACAACAGGGCTTTCATTCATTGCTGGTGAGAATGAAAAATGATACAGCCAATTGGGGAGACAGTGTGGAAGATTATTATAAAACTAAACACACTCTTACCATACTCAGCAATCACACTCTTTAGTATTTACCCAAAGAAATGAAAACACGTCCACACAAAAACCTGCACACAGATGTTCAATTCATAATAGCTATATTCATAATTGCCAAAACTTGAAAACAACCAAAATGATCTTGAATAGGTGAATGGATAAATAAACAGTGGTACATTCAGATAACGCTAAGCTTAAAAGAAAAGAGAGAAAGAAAAGACAAGACATGGAGGAAACTTAAAGGCATATTACTAAGTAAAAGATGTTAATCTGAAAAGGCTACATATTATATGATTCCAACTATGTAAGATTCTGGAAAAGACAAAACTTATGAAGACAGTAAAAACATCAGTGGTTGCCAAGGTTTGGGGAGAGGGAGGGATGAGTAAAAGGAACACAGAGTGAAGTGTTTAGGGAAGTGAAACTACTCTAAGATACTGTAATGGCAGATAAACATATATTTTCCAAATCCCAAAGAATGCACACCAAGAGTGGATCTTAATGTAAACAACAGACTTTGGATGATAATTTTGTGTCAATGTAGGTCCATCAGTTATAACAAAATACCATACTGGAAGAGCATGTTGATAATGGATGAAGCTGTGTATGTGTGATGGCAAGTGCTATATGGGGAAATCTGTGTACCTTCTGCTCAATATTGCTGTAAACATATAACTAAAAAAGCCTGTTTAAACAAAAACTGGATGCTAAATTATGATTAACTTGTTGAAAACCTTGTAATAGCTCAAGAAATAGATGAGATGACAAGAGTACAATATAAGGAATGCAATTCTGAAAATGGAAGTTTTTAAGAAAGATTAAAAAAACAAAAAAAACATAACATTTACAAATCATTACCTCTCCTAAACCACCAGTCATCTCCAAGTACATCCTGATGGTTTGACTGTTGCTTGGAAATCTGAGATACTTGATGCTGTAAACCCTTTTGATCACCTTCTGCTTTCTTAAGCTGCATACGGAGTTCTTCAACCTAGGTATATATAATAAAAAATGAAACTGTTATCCATTTTAAATGCAGGAAAAGAATAATTGAACTTACAAATTATTTCAACATATTTTCCTGAGGGAAAAAAATTTACTTCTAATAGACTACTGTAAGCACAAATTAAAGCCAAATTAATCTCTTTGTTATGCCAAGCACATCAGAATAGTCTCCATTTTTTTCCTGCTCCACTTTATCCCTCCTATTCCTTCCACAAAGAATAGATGTCTTTTCCCCTTCTCTGTGTTTACTGTGACAAAGAATCTGACCACATAAAAAAAAAAATCCCTTATTTTGACCTTAGTTCACTCTACTACGATTAACCTAAACTACCTCCAATTAAGGACTATATGTTTTTATATTTCTCCTTATTTTCTTTCATGTGACTATGGTCTATTAATTGGTAAACTCAAGTGAAATGATTATAATTTAGCATATGTTGATATCAAAATACTGCTCAAAATAAATAAGAAACAAATGCTGTTGAATGAACTATAAAGCCCTCGAGCTCAGGGACTATTTTATTCATCTTTGTATTTCTAGAGACTAGCAAATTGCCTAGCGCACAGCAGGTGTGTCCCCAGTGACCATTAAACAATTTAGCAGTGGCAAAAAGACTCAGTTAAAATCACAATGACGACCTGAACAGAGGAATCTCTTATTTCAAAAGATGAGATTAGAAATTACAAGTCAGAATTCCATAAAAAATCAGAATGGAATTGGATACAAATATAAACTTCCAAAAAAGAAAGTCTGAACTTTGCCAACATTAATTCCTTTGGACCACTGCCTAGAGAACAAAGCCAGTGAATATTTTTAAAGGTTTTGTAAATAGGTGCTATGATGCATTTTCAGCACTAATTGTCAAAATCAAGTACTCCTTGTGAATATCTATGATGCCTGACATCTTTGCCTACCTAGCATATTATTTAGTGAGTTATATAACACACACCTCAGAAGAGAGGAAGGTACAATTGCAGTTTATATTAAATACAGGCAGAGAAACCCACATGCCCTTATCCAATGTATGTAAGATGACTATTTCAAGTTGTTGAACTTCAAATATCAGAAGCACCAAATGCCTATTATGGGCTAATGGGCTGCAAAATGTTATGCTTTAAAACTAAGCCTTATCTTTGGTTAAAAGAGGGAAGGTAACATCTTAAAAACATGAATATAAGACATTGATGCATTCAAAGTAACTTGAACATGCAAAGGCCTATTTTATGTACTTTATTTCCTCCTTCACTCTCCAATGCCTCCTTAAATAAATTTAGTTCCTGGGAAAATTTTATCTTACACATCCAGTCTCACTTTAACACTGGTTATACTAACAGAGATAAATACTAAATTGGAACACCAATCAATAAAATTCACTGCCACTGTGGCAACCTGGGCTGGTGTTTTGTACTGGCTTTCTCTGAATCTTCCTGAAAGCATTTCATCTTTTGCTATGTATGCTAATATACATTCCTTAGGGAAAAAAATTTTCCTAGACCTAAGATTTTTTTCTTTTCACAAAGACATTTAATAGAGGAGAAGACGACACATTCCTGATTTAATTTAAAAGCAGATTATCACAGATTGCAAAGACTTACCTGATGCAAAAGTGTTTCTCTGCTGCCTTCTGACTGATTCAATAGCCTTCGAGATAGCTCCAATTCCTGTTCAAGCTAGAGTTTCAACAAAGGATAAAGAAAAATACCCAATGGGGCAGAAGTAACTAAATTGTTAAGGGCACAGTTTAAGAAGAGAAAAGTGGAAAAGTTTTCAGAAGATATTTACAACTAATTTGAAAGGATAAATATCTTGCTACAAATACAAATTAATGCTTCCATTAAAATAATGTTAATTGCATAACAAAAAGTAAAACGTATAGTTCTAGTTCCATTCTGTCATCTTTAAAATAACTATTTTATATTAGTCTCTGAGATTCCTTCCAGTTCTAAGTCATTTTAATATAAATTATAAAGCAATGTTTTCTTTAAATTAGCACATGTATTATTATATGAACTGAATTAGAATAAAAAATTCAGGGAACCCAATGACTTCAAAGTAATGTCATCCAATTGGTAGTTTTGTACATTCTTACATTCTTAATAGTCCAAAATCCAGAACATTCCTAAAATTTTTAAATATCTAAGTTCAGAATAAGACACTTAAATTTTCCTTAGTAAAGTTGCCATTAGATAAACAGCCATGGAAAATGAGCCAGTTAGATGACTAAACACCTACAAAGTCTGAATACACCTAGCTTACTTCAGTTTGAGTAATATAATGACTGGGAGCATAATATGCCACCCCAAAATAAGCCTCTTGGCATAAGGATTATTTGTAGCTGAAGGCAATCAAGACCCAGAAGACTCACAAAAAGTTGATTACCTCTCTCTTAACTGCATCAAAGACTTAGAAAGGGAGTCTATACCAAGGAGAGAACTATTACCAGAGATAACTGTCTATATCTGAAAGACCTATCTGCGTGGTAGGGCTAGCATTTGTTTACCGAACATTTATTCTTCTCATCTTTCTGTGAAATGTCTTCTTCCCCTTTGAAGCCCAGACCCCCTATTCCTTTCTTTAGCTCAAGATGGCATTTATGCCTCAGTTGCCTGGCTGCCTTTGATTCTCATATTTTATGGGGCTCCCACACATACAAAATTAAATGTTTTTTTCTTGTTAATCTGCCTTATGTCAGTTGAATTATTAGACCAGCCAAAGAACCTAGAATGGTAGAGGGAAAACTATTTTCCCTCTCCCACAGATGGGACATATGTTTGTTAAAAATCCAGACATTACATATGCTAGACAAGTTTGTACTTTGTAATGTTCAGGTTTTTTTGTGAAATCACAAAATTTATACTAAGATATTAAATGCTTATAATAGTTATCCTAAATTATGAATTATGATTTTACTTGAATTACTATTTAAATATTGTTCTTAATAAACACTGTACATATGGTAGGTATGGCTATCTAGGAGAAACATGAGTGAGCATTGTGGTGATGGAACAGTATCTTGACTGTGGTGGCATTAACATGAATCTACACATGAGATATAATTGCACATAATTATACACATACACAACACACAAGTGAGTACACATAAAGCTGGTGAAATCTGCACAAACTCTGTGGATTATACCAATGTCAATTTCCTATGTTTGATATTCAATGACAATTATACAAACTGTTACCTTTGAGAGAAACTGGGTGAAGGGCACATGTGACCTCTTTGTACATTCTGTTTTGCAACACCCTATGATATCTATAATTAATTCAAAATAAAGTTTTTAATCCAATTTTATGTGTTTTTTTACTTATACATGTGGTTCATAAAATAACTGCCATATTTTCTAAAAAGTAAAGTATATGTAGAATCACAGAACCCATACAAAATACTATCTGACCTGTTCTCTTACGTTATGGAAAAATAAAGAGGGATGGTCACACTTCAGTCAAAATGGTTTCAAAATCTACCAAGGCCCATATCAGTCATGATCTCTGGATAATACTGAGACAGAGAAGGAAAAGGGGGCAGCCCCTGTCCTGTTAGAGCAAGATAAGAGCTCCAGGAAAGACAAATGAGATGCTTACTAAGGGCCTTCTGAATGTGAAAAACAGGAGACTTGCAGATGAATCAGTGTAACAATGTAACAATGTGTACCTGATAAAGAGCCACTTTTACTGACTACTAAGTGACATAGTTCATGTGGCTTAACCAAAGCATAATAGTTAAAAATAGAAATGACCTTTAGTATGATTGGCTAAAATATAGCTGACATTCTGATGGGAACCTATAGAAAACAAACAGCTTCTCTCCCTTGTTGATGCAATAGGCATAAAACCCCTAGACCTGAGCCCATAAATGGCAGCCTTGCCCTCCCAGTATATGCCTGGAAGTTCTGTATTTTTATTTCTATCAATAAAAAGTCTCTTTCTTGCCAGCCTACCAGGAGCGTTTGCGAAGTTCATTCTTTGACTCCATAAACAAGAACCCCAGTATCATCTTTTTGGGGGCTCGTCCAGATCTCTCCCTGTGCTCAGCTGCCTAGAAGACAACTACCATTCCCTGCTACTCTCACTTGAATGAATTCCTTCCTTACCTGTATTTGTCTGACCTGCTCGAGAATTCTTTCTCATTCAGTTAAGAACCCTGCCCAGGTTGAGGTTTCTCCTAGTGCTTCACCTAGTGCACAGGGAGAGACCTTCCCAGACGCAGCTGCCTGGCAACAATATCCACAGCCTCTGCTTCCAAAGGGCAAACCAGATGACCTGACATAGCTTCCTCGCCATGAAGGCAGCATGGGAAAATCTTTTGACTTGACGAAGGTCAATGAAACAAAAGAAAGGAAGTAATGGTAGATAGAAAAAGCAATATATTGTAAAGAACATTATTACATCAGGGGCAAATTTCCACTTAGTCATTCGTTATCTTGGTCTCATCCTTAAGTCTACCCATTAGCAAACTGAGGAGAGTTGTCTAGCCCCTGAATTCCTTTCTAACTCTAAGGCCCAATGATCTATAGGTTCACAGATGTAAATATATGTCATAAGTCCTTAATATTTAGTGAGAAGAAAGGATTTTTCCTCTATGCTGCTAACTAAGCTTATCTTCTATAATAAAAATGAATATATGCAAAATATCTAGCCTTTAAACAACAGGTCTTTCCTAACCCTGCAGTGAAGTCAAGTATTTAAATGTTCTCCACCAAGGCACAGTAAAATTTGATTTGCCTCTAGAAAAGAAAGCAACCAGATGACAAGTTAGCAAACAACCTGTGTATGCTTCCAAGGCAAGGAGCAGAGAGTGGCAGGGCCACCAAACCAAGTGACTCCATATCAAAACATAAAGGCTTCACTGCACTCTAGCAAATGATCTCAGAGCCAATTTCCAAGACATTCAGTGAGTATCACTGGCCCCAAACAGCACTATCTTTGAAAGATAACTCCAAAATCTTACATGACTCTTCTCGGTTTCAGTTTGTCTTAGCATATTTTTCATTACATCCTCATTCTCATCTGCTTTACCTCCTTGTTTCTTCAGTGCCTAGAATTAAAAGTGGAAATATATGTGTTATTCCAAAATATGTATAAAACTAAGAGACACTAGTAGGATTTATTAAGAAAAGGCCAAGGAAGATGATTATGAGTACTACAAAATACATAAGAGAAATTAACAACCTACTCATTCACTGAAGTCCTAAGAACATTTCAGTGAGGATCAAATATAAACAACTTCCTGACCTTCCTAGTCAATTTCAACTTAGTTTCACTTTTTTCTCATCTTTGGGTATTTTGTTACACACTTAGAGAGGTATAGAGCTAACAGTTTTCTTGGAAGCCAACAAAATTTACTGCCTGACGAAATAATGGTATTTGAAAGTTGTATCATCTTTATTACTTAAACATAATACTAAAAACTAGCCCATTATTTTTCCAAATTCTGAAAAACTACCTCATCAAGGTAGAAATATGCTTATTTATTACATGTATGACATTTTATTATAACACATAACTGGCTCTTCCCATGACCCTTCTCACAGAGAAAAGAAAGCATTCTTTTCTACATGTTTCTCTCTAAAAAAATGGAAAAAAGAACTTCAAGGAAACCCAAATTTCAAAAGTTTACCACAAAAGTGTTTGTTTTGGTTTGTTTCTATGTTAAACAAAATTAAACTTAAGAAAAGAATTTATACTTGGAGTAATGTTTCATAACATATAAAAGGCATACTATTTATTTAAAACTTTGACAACTTCAGCATTTATACTTAGCAAGGTGTATATGGAAAGGCCATCCAAACTGAGAAAAGCCAAACTGCCAGAAGTCATTTCCAATAAGATATTATGCTCAATAAAGAAACAATTTTTAGACAAAGAGCAAAACATGTTAAACTGCATTTTGATGCAAGAATAATCATATTCAATTTCATTAGCTTACATATCCAATAAATAACTTCTAAGTGTATCTACTATGTGTCGGGCACTGGGCTAAGGACTACTATACCCTTGTATAAAAAATTGACATGGCCCCCATCCATGAGATGACGGCCCCCTTTGCCATGGCTCTTACTCTAATTAAAAGCATTGAGTAAAAAGGCAGAGAAGCATCATCAAAATGAAGAATAATTTTGGTTTGAGTGTAATAATATAATAATAATAACACTAATATAGTATTTACTGTGTCCATTCTTCTTCTTACATATAATAAATATATACATCATATATATTGAATAGATATATTTAATCTTCATAATTGCAAGAGTTATTATTAGGTCCATTTTTATTAAGGGGGAAATTGGCATACAAGGAGTTGAATAACTTGCCCAAGGTCATTCACCTAATCACAGAAAAAAACTCAGGCAGTCTGCCTCTAAACCACTGAGTGGTGCTGTATCTCCATGTTGAAATAACAGTATCAACCTCACAGGGTAGATATGAAGACTAAATAACTAGATATTTGTAAAGCACTAAAATGTATGAAAAAACACAACTATTAAGACTACTGAATTGTTAACACTGATAAAGTATTAAAGATTATAATGCTTTCCAGGTGGTTATCAAATGGATTAGGTGTCTGATATTTGTTTTTTATTATAAAGGAAATAGAATTTGTGATAATTTTATATGTTTTGGGGGCACATAAAGAGTACAGAATATGACACCTAACATATAAAGAGTGGAGGAGGAAGAAAAAGAGGGGAGGAAAAAACATACATCTACAGATTGTGTTTTAATAGCATAATAAGTGAGTTAAGTTATACTGTTTGATGGTAAAGAAGCTGCCCTTGAGACTTTGGTAACCATGAATACAAAGCCTGCAAAAGCAGTAAGTACATATCTATCAATAATCACCTTAAATGTAAATGGTCTGAATGCACCAATCAAAAGACAGAGAGTTACAGAATGGATAAAAAAGCAAGATCTGTCTATATGCTGACTACAAGAGACTTGCTTCAAACTCAGAGACATACACAGATGAAAAGTGAAGCGATGGAAAAAGATATTTCATGCAAACAATAGGGAGAAAAAAGAAGGAGTTGCAATATTTGTATCAGATAAAATACTCAAAAACAAAGAAAGTAACAAGAAACAGAGAAGGACATTACATAATGATAAAGGGGTAAGTCCAACAAGAGGATATAAATATTCTAAATATCTATGCACCCAACATAGGAGCACCCAAATATGTGTACCAAATATGAACAGAATTAAAGGGGGAAATAGAATGCAATACATTCATTTTAGAAGATTTCAACACAGCAATCATGCCAAAGGACAGATCAACCAGACAGAAAATAAGTAAACACAGTGGCACTCAACACCGTATTAGAACAGATGGACCTAACAGACATCTACAGAACACTCCACCCAAAAGCAACAGGGTATACATTCTTCCCAAGTGTACATGGAACATTATCCAGAATTGACGACATACTAGGCCACAAAAAGAGCCCCCATAAATTCAAAAAGATTGAAATTGTACCAACCAACTTCTCAGATCACAAAGGTTAAAAACTAGAAATAAATTGTGCAGAGAAAATGAAAAGGCCCACAAATACGTGGAGGCTTAACAACATGCTCCTAAATAATCAATGGATCAACGACCAAATTAAAACAGAAATTAAGCAATATATGGAGACAAATGAAAACAACAGCTCAACAGCCCAACTTCTATGGGATGCAGCAAAGGCAGTTCTAAGAGGAAAGTATATAGCAATTCAGACCTATTTAAAGAAGGAAGAACAATCTGAAATGAACNAAAAAAAAAAAAAGAGAATCTATACACATAAACAGAAACAGAAATGAGAAAGGAAAAATTATACAGACACCATAGAACTACAAAGAACTATTAGATAATACTGTGAAAAATTATATGCTAACAAACTGATAGTCTGGAAGAAATGGACAACTTTCTAGAACAATACAACCTTGCAGAAAAATACAACCTTCCAAGACTGACACAGGAAGAAACAGAAAATCAAAACAGACCAATCACCAGCAATGAAATTGAACTGGTAATCAAAAACTACCAAAGAAAAAAACCCCTGGATCAGATGGCTTCACTGCTGAATTTTTTTAGACATTTAGAGAAGACATAAAACCCATCTTCCTTAAAGTTTTCCCAAACGTAGAAGAGGAGAAAATACTTCCAAACTCATTCTATGAGGACAGCATCACTCTAATACCAAAACTAGGCAAACATACCACAAAAGAAGAAAATTACAGACCAATATTCCTGATGAACATAGATGCAAAAATCCTCAACAAAATATTAGCAAACCAAATTCAAAACACATCAAAGAGATTATCCATCATGATCAAGTAGGATTTATTCCAGGGATGCAAGGATGTTACAATATTTGAAAATCCATTTACATCAACAAAAAGGACAAAAATCACATGATTATTTCAAAGATGCTGAAAAATCATTTGACAAAATTCAACATCCATTCATGATAAAAACTCTCAACAAAATGGGTATAGAGGGCAAGTACCTCAACATAATAAAAGCCACATATGAAAAATCCACAACCAACATCATACTTGGCAGTGAAAAGCTGAAAGCTTTTCCTCTAAGATCGAAAACAAGACAAGGATTCCCACTCTCGCCACTTTCATTCAACATAGTTCTGGAGGTCCTAGCCGCCACGGCAGTCAAACAACACAAAGAAATAAAAGGCCTCCAGATTGGCAAGGAACAAGTTAAACTGTCACTGTTTACAGATGACATGATATTGTACAAAAAAACCCTAAAGAATCCACTCCAAAACTATTAGAACTAATATCTGAATTCAGCAAAGTTGCAGGATACAAAATTAATTGGCAGAAATATGCTGCATTCCTATATACTAATGATGAACTAGCAGAGAGAGAAATCGAGAAAACAATTCCATTCACAATAGCATCAAAAAGAATAAAATACCTAGGAATAAACCTAACCAAGGAAGTGAAAGACCTATACCCTGAAAACTACAAGGAACTCTTGAGAAAAATTAAAGCAGACACAAATAAATGGAACTACATCCCATGCTCATGGGTAGAAAGAATTAATATTGTCAAAATGGCCATCCTGCCTAAAGCAATATACAGATTCAACGCAATCCCTATCAAAATACCAATGGCATTCTTCAATGATCTAGAACAAATAGTTGTAAAATTCATATGGAATCACAAAAGACTCCAAATAGCCAAAGCTATCCTTAGAAGCTCTACTACAAAGCCACAGAAATCAAGACCTTCTGGTACTGGCACAAAAACAGACCCATAGATCAATGGAATGGAATAGAGAGCCCAGATATAAACCCACACATATACGGCCAATTAATATATGATAAAGGAGCCATGGACATACAATGGAAAAATGTCAGTCCCTTCAACAAATGATGTTGGAAAAACTGGACAGCTATATGTAAGAGAATTAAACTGGAATACTGTCTAACTCCATACACAAAAGTAAACTCAAAATGGATCAAAAATCTGAATATAAGTTATGAAACCATGTAACTCTTAGAAGAAAACATAGGCAAAGCTCTCTTGAATATAAACATGAGCAACTTCTTCATCTCCACAGGCAAGGGAAACAAAGGCAAAAATGAACAAGTAGTACTACATCAAACTAAAAAGCTTCTGGACATCAAAGTACACCATCAGTAAAACAAAAAGGCATTGTACAGTATGGGAGAATACATTCATAAATGACATATCCAACCAGGGGTTAACATCTAAAATATATAAAGAACTCACATGCCTCAACACCCAAAAAGAAATAACCCAATTAAAAAATGGACAGAGGTTATGAACAGACACTTCTTCAAAGAAGAAATTCAGATGGCCAACAGGCACATGAAAAGATACTCCATATTGCTAATCATCAGGGAAATGCAAATTAAAACCTCAATGAGATAGCACATCACATCAGTTAGCACATCACACAGCCAGCATCCAAAATACAAGCAACAACAAATGCTGGTGAAGATGAGGAGAAAGGGGAACCCTCCTACACGGCTGGTGGGAATTTAAATTAGTTCAACCGTTGTGGAAAACAAT